TATTTTAGTAGATTTATTGTACTCCATTGTGTTAATAAAAAACCTAACAATTGTGCGATCTTATTTTCATGTTTAATTCGCCGTAAAGTTATGAATTAAAGTTTTTATAAAACATAATGAAAGGTGTATTAAAAATTAAAATTATATTTGTACGATATAACCCTTGTTAAATTATAATCAGAAAAGTTTAGAATAATAAAAGAGAACCTGAAATAAGTTATAATATTTATAACACTCTGAGAAGTTTTCCACTGAATTAGGATCTGAAATCTGAAACATTAGTAGTCTTATTTCATGTAAGAAAAAATATAATTTATATCTAGGTGAATATTCACATAAAACCCTGGTTCCCAACCTGGAGTGTTTTCACCTCCTCGGGGTATGGGACTAGGGTGTCAGGGGTGTGGCCAACTGGTGTAGGAGAAGAATTCATTTTGAATTGAGAGAGCACCTGCTAAAAATGTGGATGAAACAAATGTTTGGGTTTGGGGGTGTGAAAGGGCCAGGTGATTGATTGCTCCATGGGGTGTGAAGACTGAGAAAGGTCGGGAACCACTGATATAAAATTATCTATCTGTGTACGATAAAACTAAGGAAAATTAGAATCCAAACCAACTTATAGATGTGTAGTGATTCGGTTTAGATGAGGAGTTAATTGGTACAGTTATTTGTTTCATACGAAATGGAAAAACAGAAATTACTTTTCTACGATATAAAACTCTGAGCAATTAGAATCCAAACCAACTTATAGATGTGAAGCGATTCGGTTTGGTCGGGTTTTGTTACATTATAAGGTATTGATTTTTATTTCATACCAAATTGAAAAAAATGAAATTACTTTTTTACGGTACCCCTGGCAATAAGAACCGTAACTTATAGATATGTTCAATTCATAATATTTTCCACTATAAAACTCTTTAGACTGAATAATAAACTGCATTCTATAACGTTATGAAAATACACAAGTATTAACAATCCGAAATGCAAACCGAAACCAAAAGGGCTTCAAAAATATTTAAAATTATAATTAAATATAAAATTACCTGTGATAGATGTAGCCCTGTGTAAATTAAAATCCACAATAAATTATAATCTTATGAAAAGTTTGTTAATCCACTAAACACTACACATTGTTTCCTGTTCACAAGTTACTAAAACACGGAAAACAAGATTTGAATTTGAAAAAGTCTGACAAAACGTGTTTAATAACGTCCAAACACATAATATAGGACTTTTATAACTTCTGTATAAAAACGATCGAGGCAATATTATAATCATTTTCAGTTTTTTTGAATAAGAAGATCACCGCAGTATAATAACGAAATCATTGAAATATATTTTGATACAATTCAAAAAAAGGTCAAATTCTTTTATATCGAACACAAATCTACATAAAGCCTCGATTCGACCCGATATATTGATATTGGTGTTGAAAGCGTTAACTTTGTTGCTAATATAAGCACATGATGAATAACTCCGGCGTTGAAGGCGTTAATGTCATTTTTTCGCTACAATAGCTGTACATTATGACGAGCTAGTAGGTATTGTAGAGAATAAGTATTGAAAGGTTTTGTTGGTTGAGTGAAAGGCGATTCTCTGTTCATTGTAAGTTGACAATATTTAGTTTGGGAGTTGAAGAGATTCAAGTCATCATGTGTTTGTCAATTGTCACGTGGGTGTTTGTGCATGTCAGACAGCTAGAGTTGATAAAATTAATTAGAAATGAAATAAAATGAATGGAGTTTTACGTCCTACTTTTCTGCACCATGTGGGCTAATGAAGACGGGCAACACCATGCAGGGTGCAATGAGGGAAATTTTGCCAGGACAGCGGCATAAGCCTGCTCTTTTCGATTTCCAACTGTCGAGGGATCTTTAACGTGTACAGACTGTAGCACACGGTGTCTCGGTTTATTGTCCCATCCGAACGACTAGACGATATTTCCATGTCAGTTTCTCAAACCTGCATTACTGACAGGAGAAATGAATTCGGGGCGCAGTCTGTATAATATTCACTATTTATCCACTAATAGATTAATCAACACTAAACTTTTACTGACCACAAAATACAACATAGAGGTCACTTTTCATTAGAGCAAGTACGCAAAGTAAAATGAACACTTACATCCAAACAGACTCGATTGCAAATATTGAAACAGCACAACGTATTTCTTCTAAAATATCAAAAAATACCCACGCGAAGTAACAAACTAGCCAAATGTTGGGAAGTTTGATAAGAAGAAGAGTTGGGGTTATCGTGATGCATTACCAATTACGGTGCAGTGTCCGGTGCGGTCCGGTCCGGTGCGATGCAGGCTTATGCCTCTGTATTCTATACTTAGACTGATATTTGTAGTTTCCCGTCCATGAATCCAGGAACCCTGTAAGTAATTGTAAAATATAAAATATGATTTTTACCTGATATTTGAAATACCTCCATCTTAGCAACTTATTTCAGGTGTGTCAACTAGGTACAGTAGAATATTATAGTCGAGTTGAAACCCTCAGACCACTGAGACGTGACCTTTCACCTCCCACTAGGAAACCTTCAAAATACTATAAATACAGAACAAATAGGTATAAAAGATTTCTATTTCTATAAACGATTTTATTTTAAAGTTTATTATCAACTGGGCTAATAATTTTATTGAATTTAGGGTAATTATGATCACCACAATATTTTATTGTAGAAGCAATATTATATACTGTTGTGGTTTGACAGAGTTAACTCAGATCGACCTTGGAGCAACTAAGAGCAACTGGATGTTCAACAACTGCTAGAAAATGATGCCATTTTTCGAGAATAGAACGGTATGATGATTGGTAGATAACAAGTTAACGTTCGCTTCCAGCTAACTGATATCACAGACTAGGTAGTTGTTGGTAGATGACAAGTTAACGTCCGCTTCCAGCTAACTGATATCACAGAAAGGTAGTTGTTGGTAGATGACAAGTTAACGTCCGCTTCCAGCTAACTGATATCACAGACAAGGTAGTTGTTGGTAGATGACAAGTTAACGTTCACTTCCAGCTAACTGATATCACAGACAAGGTAGTTGTTGGTAGATGACAAGTTAACGTTCACTTCCAGCTAACTGATATCAAAGACTAGGTAGTTGTTGGTAGATGACAAGTTAACGTTCGCTTCCAGTGGATGCTGATATCACAGACTAGGTAGTTGTTGGTAGATGACAAGTTAACGTTCACTTCCAGTTAACTGATATCACAGACTAGGTAGTTGTTGTTAGATGACAAGTTAACGTTCACTTCCAGCTAACTGATATCACAGACAAGGTAGTTGTTGGTAGATGACAAGTTAACGTTCACTTCCAGCTAACTGATATCAAAGACTAGGTAGTTGTTGGTAGATGACAAGTTAACGTTCGCTTCCAGTGGATGCTGATATCACAGACTAGGTAGTTGTTGGTAGATGACAAGTTAACGTTCACTTCCAGTTAACTGATATCACAGACTAGGTAGTTGTTAGTAGTTGGTAGTTGGATTGGTTCAAATTAGATGATTCTGTGTTGTTTGTTTGGTTGTTGAGAATAAAACAGAAGGAACAATAATTGAGTTTTATAATCACCCTGTGCGCCGCTGATCGGAGAATTTCCCATAAACAATATTTTACTTTCCAGCGAGTATGATCAGATAGATATTGTCGTCGACTTGTGCTCTGAAGATATTCTGACTCTTCCATCTACCAAATGTGAAAAACGGACAAGTTCATGAAGAACAAGCGCAGATAGATTTTTGGTTTGTGCCTAGAGAGGCAATATTGTCTACAGTCTCGAATAACTAACCTCGAACTTAGAGTCGAAGTGCTCGAGTACTAACCTCCATATAACCACTGCTCCTCGCCAGTGAAAGGAAACAAAGTCATATTTTGTAGATATTATTGTATCTATATATTATAATAATCATTTTAACAATACATCAAATACTGACATTGTGTTTATCTATTCACCACCCATGGCGTATATTTCACGATTGAATAAAGTTTGATTCATTGTCAAATAAGCTGCTATTTGTTGACAGTTGACTTGTATAGTGGTCAATGGGCGAAAATCAAGCCCTGTGCCCACCAATTTGTCTTCTACGACATGTCCTAAACCCCCATCTCCCACCCCCATCCCCTAACTAAGGCTGACAAGAAGCCAAAGTCTACCCACTCTCAAATTCAAATAATTTTACAGAGGGAAAGGATTGCATACAAGCCAACCTCAACATTCTGAGGCCCTTACTCTACTCACCCACCCAACATGCTAGTTCAGGGGTCGCTCTGAGGATCCGCAATTCAATTCTGAAACTTCCCCATATTCACACCAATTCACCCTGATTTCAAATTTCACCCCCAATAAATTCTGATTCACCCCTTTTGAAAAACACTGATCTATATCAAATAGCTGTTTATATTTTCTCTTGCGTCTTTTGAAAGGATAATCGGTTGACGGGCCGTTGAAAAGGCCACCGAACAAATAAACTGGCATTTCTTGTGTTCAGCTCGTAACTATTCGTGGATGTTTTGCGAATAGCCATTCTTTTCTTGTGATTACGGGTTTTGCGTCTGCGTAGATTCTCCACGATATGGTTTCCGGTTCATAAAAAAGAGAAAAAACTTGATTTGAAGAAAGTTGATTTAAAGCCAGACAAACGGAATCATTTGAAATTAAAAACTTAAAAACATTCAGAATGGAAAGTGTAGTTTGGAGTGTTAAAAATGGCGATTTACCAGAAGTGAAAACAGCCTTAGAAGAGCAGGTTTGTTGAAACTGAAAGGCAATAATATAATTTACTTCTCCATTGCTATGACAGGCAGGTGCCCCACCCCCATCAATGACTAAATAAGGCAATAACATCATTTGAATAACAAATGTAGTAGTATAATTCTTTTAGATTAAATCATTTCAATGGAAATCTGATGGGATGGAAAATTTTGCTGCTTAGTCTGCAACATTAGACTACTTACTTCAAATTACTGCTGCCTTAAAGATGACTTAGTTAGGGCAAGGTTGAGATGGCCATATCTTGTATTTTGTTGAATAGAGAGCACCTGTCTGTAGGATCTTGTTAGGGTTTTGAAACGGTAGTCTGTTGTACTATAGAAAGTTTCTATCAAGTTTAATGATGGTTTATTTTATTTATAGAAAGGATTACAAAATGAAACTATATCTGGTAGAAAATTAATTCATTTCGCTGCCGATTATGGTCAACCAGAAATGATAGAATTTTTAGTTCATAAAGGTGCTGATGTCAATGTGAGTCAATATGTTTTACTGAATCCACTGGTTATATATAACTACTAATAGTAGAGATTAGGGTACTGGTAGTTGAAAGGTCATGAGTTACTATTCAACAAAAGGCACTGGCACAGAGAAATATATAATGCCCTTGCTATTGCAAAAGCTCCTGATAATATATTTAAGGAGGGAGCCGCATTGACTCAGTGAGGAAGACTCTTGCTCGTTTACCTGAAGGTCCAGGATTCATTTCTGGCATACGTTGAGATAATTTCAACCCGGTTTCCCCCTGTCAGTGAAGCAGGTGAAGAGGGCTGACATGGAAATAGCATCTAGTAGTTCGAATTTGACAATAAACGGAGGCCCCGCGTGTTACGTTAATGATCCCTCAACAGTTGGAAATAAAAGAAAGCAGGCTTATGCCACTGTCCTGGCAAAATTTCCCTCATCGCACCCTGCATGTAGTTGCTAGTCTTCATTAGCCCACATGGTGCAGAAAATATGACGTAAAACTCCATTCATTTCATTTCATTATTGATAATATTTAAGTGCCATTCAATAGCATATAATCAATTATTTTTGTAATTGTAGGCCTTAGATTCTCATGGTATTACTCCATTGTGTGCGGCCGTATTTGAAGGTCATGTAAAATGTGTTAAAATACTTTTAGAAAAGGTGAGTGGAATTTGAGGTCTCAAAGAAAGTGAGCTCCCTGCTGCAAATTTCAGTGGAGTAAACATATAGGCCATAATGTTTATTAGTTCTGCCTGGGCTTATGTTGGCAATTTTTTGGCAGACATATTCCATGTACAAAATAACAGAGTCGTTTCTGACAAATGCAAGAAATTTTAAAGATCTGACCCTTTCAACCCTGAGTGTAAATGAAATATAACATCATAAACCCTGAACTTCAAGTAATAAAAGTAAAAGTGTATGATGTAAAAGTTGTATGACGTCACTTAGTAACGGCCGGTATACCGTCTGCTCGGGTTGAAAGGGTTAAAGAATAATCTTGGCCCTAGTATTTTGTAATGTTATAAAGGTCTATGATCTAATTTAGAACAACCAAACTGGTCCTATCCAATTCCTTAAATGGTGTATACTTAAAAGATCAGTCATTTCAATACAAATAATTTATTATATTATGATCTAATTTAGACGAACAAACCCAGCCCAACCCAATTTCTTAGATGGTGTATACATCATCACATGTTGTTTACATAGATATAAAAAAGTTAAGACAACGCTGCTTAATTTTATTATTTTAGGGTGCTGATAAAAATGGCAAAGCTCCAGACGGAACGCCCTACATCGAATGTGCAGAAACAGATGAAATAAAAAACTTATTGAAATGAATGGATAACTGATAGTGCTAAAAATATCTTAAAAACTGTATATTATCTTCTTCCATGGTGGTATTTTTATTGGAAGCTCTGTGAAAAACTTGTGATTTTTTTTATGAGTAGAAGCATGGGAACAATAAATCATTGTGTATAACAGAAGCAGGGGTTGGGTTTAGGGGGGTGAGGGGAGGGGCTATATATACACTGCTTGTAGAATAGTATTTATTTTGCCAGCTTTTGTTGTTTGTCTTTCATTATAACTATACATACTAAATATAACTCGAAACTGTATTTTAAACATCCTCGATCAGACTTTCTTGATTGTAATTTTGTAATTGAAGAATGAAAATTGTGTTAACGGTGAAATCGCTTGCTTCAGGGTCCCCTCCGATGCGTAAAATTGCGGAATAGTTTGTCAAAAATGCAGAATTTTACATTGAGAATGTGGCAAAAATTGTTGTTGAAAGGATCCAGATGTCTTATTTTTGCCAGAAAGATTTTTGATGTTAAACTTTCTGTATAAATAGTATTTTCTGATGTATTTATTTAGATTTTATGTTTTATAAGTATTTGATCATACATAAACTGTCTCAAAACAAAAACTAAATAGTCCTAGCCCCTGTTGACTAATAATCAGAATATCTTCAGAAAGAGTCAAATAGAATTTTTTGCATTTTGTCTAAATGTTGGCATTAACTGTCGTTCTATAAAGAATTGAATATTGTCAAACTGAGCACAATTTAATCTATATTTTGTATCATGCTATAAAATATGGACAATTTTTAAAGAAACAATAAATCAATATTATATAAAGTATATTGTTGTTTAACAATGGAGGTTCAGGTACCCAGTGGTGAAGCCAGGTTTATGTCCGAGGGGGGGCAACCTTGAAAAATGGTTTGAACCCCACTTTATTTCTACCAAATTTAAATGCGATTTGTATACTTTTATCGCCCTAAAATATGTTGAATGCACCCGATCAATTCTTTTTTCAAAAATTTTGTGGGGAGAACCCTTTTTAACACTTCATGAGACAGTTGTTACCCCTTAAAATCTTCTCTACCCCTTATTTTGTACCCCCAGTCTTGGGAGGCTGACACTGCCACTATTGTTCAATCTTAAAGACAATGCAAAGTTCTGTATTGAAGGTTCATGGAATATCATCTATCTTCACAATGCCAAGGTACAAGGAACAGAAGTCTTAGATCTCGTAATTATTTCTTGTATCAAGGTTTGTTAATGCAGCAATATCATTGGATATTACTGAGATACAGATCAGATATCATGAGAATGTACAAGGGGATACAACTCTTGTTATGGACATTAAATTGACTATACATAATCAGGAAACAGATTTCGAATAAGTGAAATAACTTGCAGAAAATAATTATACATTAACTACACACATCTTCACAGTGTTAACTATTATGAACGTGCATTTACAAACTTTTCTATGATAAAAGAAAGTGGCAATTGCAGTCAAGGTATAACACAAAGTTCACAAGAGCTTGAAGTGAAGATGAACAACAAAGCACTGTAAGGGATTGTCATGATTATAAATGAAAACTACCATGTTTTTTTGCTCACATTTATTATAATAAATTTATCGATAAGATTTCTGGTAGCGAGCTCTGGCACCAGGACCACCGAATTTCTTCATCTCACAACGACGTGGGTCACCAATCAGTAAATTTCGGTCGTATTGTAATAAAATATCCTTGATTTCTTTCTTACTAGATTCATCTACATCTGAAATTACAGGTCGAAAAGCATGAATTTAAAAGTGATACAGGTAATATTCTACAAAAAAGGATGGTTTCCACCCTTCTACTATAAACAATTATTGATGAGTCCTACATTTCATGGTTATGAATTTTTAACAGAAGAGTGGATTAGGTAATGGCAGAGATGTTAGTGACCACCAGAGCGAGAAATCTGGCTGCCCCCGCTTTGGCTACGGCAATGGTGACCACTCAATTCATTTCAGGAACTTTTGGGAAGCGTAGGCAGCTAAAGCCTTTCGTGCTTCTTATTAGGAAAAGAAAGGAATCTGCAACCCATTTCCATTCCAGAAATTTCCCGAAGTCTTACATCTCTGCATCTTACTTTTCCAATAATAAGCAGGTATTAAGCAGGTCAAATCTCAAAACAAGAATGTATGAAGATTTCCTCAGGATGCTGGGAGATGACTCTTTCCAAGATAACCAAATCAACATAACTTCTAATTGTATACTCATAGCCTCTTGGTAAATTAGTATTATGATGCCATTTGAGCAAAGATTATGGCAAGGGTCTTGAAGGTGACTCATTCCGACCTTCAAAGTTAGTATAGTTAACCACAATAAATATAACAAATATAATCATCTTATGATTATAATTCTTCATTACAGTCAAATCAAAGTTCTACAATATCTAATTCCTACTTACATTTTTGGTAGAAAGCAACAATAGCTCTTGCAACTGCCTGTCTGATAGCTAAAAGATAATTACAGGTCATAAATAAATACATAATTAATAAACTTACAACCTAAAGAATTTAACTGATACACCATTGAAATAATGACTGAGAAAAATTGGGCAAGAGAAGATTCTTATCTGTCTATAATATTCAATATTATAACATGTTTTCTCATTTGATTTAATCAATAGGGAGTTGAATTGTTGTGTGCTAGTTAATTATGTGATGTCAGTTCAAATCCTCCTGAAGGTATGACAAATTCTGATGCCAGAGCCAGTGCTTCTGATTGTCTACCTGGTAAATTATAATGTATCTTAAGATCCAAACAGCAAAACGAAACCCGAAATCCAAAACATCACATTAGCAATGCATTAGTAGCATCACATGAGGAAGTATATCAATCAAGTGAGTACGTATTTCATAATGAAAAGTGACATCAGGTGTCTAGAAGAGTAAGCATACACTGTCTGGTGTCAAACACTTACCATAAATTTGAGCTATGATACCACCACCCTTGACTCTAACTCTGATGTTTAAACCGTCAAATCTTTCTTTACCTAATAATAACATAGGTTCCCTCAACTGAAACAACAAAACATTTAAGATCAGACATCAGAGTTTAAAAAAATTTCAAGGACCTGGTGAATTTTATATGTACTGTTGATGTCATCAGGCACTACAATTAGCCAAAAACATCTGTAAGCTTATTTATTCCAATCTCTGATAGCCATTGTGAAAGTTGTCTGCAGGACTATGGTCAGAAAATCAGGCTTTGTCTTATGGTGATTTTCTTCATCTCTGAAGGAAAGAATGTTCTTTGAGATATTTACTTGGTATCAACTAAAACCTATTGCTGGGGCATCATGGTGACTTTTGTATTGTTAGTAATACATGACCCTGTGAACATTTGATAGCCTGGTAAGTTTTGTTTTGAAAAATTTTGATGGAACTGCATAAGCAAGAACGTGACGTAAATGGTGCAGAAGGGCGATAAATAATGAATGTATGACTCAACTATGTACAAAAATACCCATCTTTCCAAATAAATTCTACTCCTAAAAGAGCTTTCAAAGGCTGGGATAGTGGCAGATGCCTTGCACTTCATTAGCCCAAAAACCTCAAAATTAGGATTTCAGCTTTCCAGTCAACTGATTACTCACCTTGACTCTCAGACATTCTGGTTCCATCTGTTCTAATGGACGTCCATTGATTCTTAAAGTGGCCTTCGACCCTCTTTTACAGTAAGCTACAGCAATGGAAGTTTTCTACAAATTAACAAAACAAAAATAGTCAAAACTTGTGTTTAGTGTGAATATGAAAAGATTTCTTTGATAAGAATGGTTTCTGCATTGACTTTTGCTGTCTTTTTCGCAAATACTGGTCTTCCAAAATAAAATTTCCAAATGATATTTTTTTTCACTGAAGACAATCTTTATTTGAAGTTGATATTTCAATTCATACAAACATAAGCAAAAAGCATTTTTCTGTAAAAGTTGAGAGCTACATATTTTCCAAAATGGTTGGTAATTACCTATTAGGTTATAATATATAAATCAATAGTTAGATTCATCTCTTACCTTTCTTCCACATACTTGTACCGATTGTACTGGAGCTTTCGCTTTAGGAGCTGGCTTCAAACTAGAAGGAGCAGGCGGCATGCTGAAATTGAGAAACAGGATATTTGATAAATCCACGATCTGTTAAGTGATACGTGAATAAGAGCCAGTAGATATACCTGGTGTCATAAATAACATAATAGGATACAATCCGATAAATCCAAAAAACTTAGTAATCATCCACAAATATGCAATAAGCTATTGAAAAACGCTTAATATTAAGATTACTTAGTTGTATGAATTTTCCAATTTTCCAGATTTTACAGAGATTCTGTTGTAATTTTATGACACCAGGTAAGTTCACTGATGAATATATTCTCATATTGACCATTTCGAGAAATTAAATTTTATGTTCATTCTTAGACGTAGTATCACTTTAAATGTAATTTGAGTGCGGAAATATTGCCAAAAGTCATGCAGGGTTGTTGAAGATTTGTTTGCCACGAGAGTGAGCTATCAGTACCGTATCAAAGATCAATTTAATGGACCCTGAAGTTTGAAGTTGAACGTCATCAAATCATTTTACTTTCTATCTAAACTCATCTAAATATAATAAGAATAATTCTTGGTAGTTTTTTGACAAACTTTCATTCTGTTTTATTTTATCTGCTTTTATTTGTAATATAGCCACTTCAGTTAGAGTTAAAATCTAACAGTTGAGTAACGACAGCACTGTTTATAAAATATATTCAAATTCAGGCATCAAACTATTGGCAACAATGTGGTACGAGTAGTAAGATGCTTTCATACAATGTTACAATGACAGACACCTGAATATCTAATGGAGTCACCATAAACAATTCATATCAAGCAAATAATGTCAGGACGGGAGCACAAGACTAGAGAAGGCCGATGGCAGGAGAGCCATTTCTCTCAGCTTTTACCATTTCTTGCAAATAAATATAATTACGCTGGGACCAAGATTTGGTTTATATAAAATGGGATTATTTCAAATTAAATCACAAGAATTTAAGTTTATTTGGGCTATTTTTATGGAATTTATTGAGTATTTTAGTTGTTGAAGTTCACTCACGTTGTATTTTGATCATGAACGAAAAGGAAAAGGAAGTAACTAGGGGTTCTATTTCCGGTTTCTGGTACTGAAAATACTCTTCAAGCTAAAATTTCAAGATTGTTCTGTTTTGTTTAATTTTATCAAGATTTAATATGTTTCAATTATTAATTATATTTCGGAATAAAAAAAAAGGTTTTGTTAACAAACTTAGGCTTATAATTATACGTGACCCACACAAAGAACCAAAATACTGAAATTAGGCTGATGGGTATATTTCCTTTTCTTTTCAATCTCCTCTTGTAAGTTATTCAATTTTATGGTCAAAAAGTTAACTTAAAATGTTTGTCACTTTGATTTGGCAATAAAAAGCAACATTATGGGCACATTTAAAAAAAAAATGCTCAATATTTATTTCGGGAGAGGCTTGATTTGAGATTTATAGTCTTGATTGTCATAGAATAAAAATTCGTAAGTCTGGACAATCAGAACAAAAAGGCGCTAAATATGAACTTTTCGCGCTAAACCTTTCAAATACCGTATTCTGCGAACATGGCTGTCGAGTTGAGCATAGACCCCAAAAATAGCATTTTGGCCAACATTAACGCAGTAGAAAATGGTAAAAATTATAGCGAAATAGAAGAGAGGTGAGATAGTGAACTTTAGCACAAAACAAGATTATTTTTTTTTTTTTAGACATTTAGACTTGTCGAAATCAAAAAAGAAATAATCGGTAAAAAATCAGTTAGCGTTTGAAGTTTAGTGTTCAAAGAAAGAATTATTAAAATTCGGCATATTGCCATGAAAACTATTGATCTGTAAATTATGACATGTACAGATCTTAATGTTTTGTAATTGTTGAAAAGTTTGTCAGATATTCCAGAAATGCCTGCAGTAAAAAAGTCGGGTAAGTTTTTAGGAGAATCAAGCCCAGGGCGAATCGAACAAAGACAACAAAGACAATTCGGGACACTTTTTTTTGATAAGAACCAACTTTGTAAACAAATTGAAAGTAGGCCTGGAACACACAGGCATCTGTTTTTATCGATAGTCGACTCTCTCTATAATAGTATATGAGTGTAAATATTTTTAGTATTTTTATTGAACAAAAGTTAGATTAGTATGAAGAAGAACACTGAGGGATGTCTTGTGTGAAGGGAAAATATTCAATGAAACGATTCATATAAGGTTGGGATAATGTTTCATTACGGTAAATGGTAGAAAATCGTCTGAAGCGGAGGTGGTCGTGACGAGCGTTAGCCACCTTCTCATATACTAAAGTATTACAGAGATGGTCGACTGTTGATAGAAACAGATGCCTGTGGCTGGAACAACTCCGCCATTTTTTTACGATCTATTTAAAATTATAGTACAATTCCGTAGCTTTTTTGTTTCTGATAATTTTAAGAAATTAATGATCCTTTGTTGCAAATTGACTTTTGGTGGTCCGAGTTGGAATTGGTCAGAATTGTCTTTCACTTTGAATCTGAATTTGCATAAGTGGTCTGAACTCTGAGTTGACTTTAATCCAAGATATCTCAATGGCCCACCAACCCCCAAACACACCACAGACATTATCATATTATGGATTTGCGCTCGACGGCTTAAAGCAAATGAAGATTGATCACAGAAACCATGGCAGGGTATAGTTACTCTTCTAGACACCTGATACCACTTGAAATACTTATGATTGATATTCTTCCTCATATGAAAAGTTTATTAGCTGTTAGTTATGTTTCGCCAATGTATTGTTTCGGATTTCATTGTGCGGGTGTGGTTTGGATTGTTAGTAGCCTACATGGCTTATCTATTTTATCTAGGAATAGTACGTGGTCTAGTATTTAAATTAACTATATCTGTCATAAGTATAATTCTGAAATTTGCTGATTATCAAAATATTATTTTATCTTTTAGACACGATGAAGAAGAATATCTTGACGCTATCAGGAAGATTCTAAAGAAAGGTGTAAAACGAGGAAATCGTACTGGAGTTGATACGCGGTCCATATTTGGTATGCAAATGAGATATGATTTACGAGAGAGTAAGTATTAAAATATTTTTAAAAAACACATAGTATAGCTTTAAGAATCTTAAAAATGTCAAGCTATTAGCCTTTTACAAACTGTGTCTAATACCTTGACTACACTAGCCACCTTTCTTGTTACACAGAATGCAGCTATTTGATTGGATTGTACGCGTGTGAATACAGCCAATCAGAGTCCTTGACAGAAAGTCTGATAAGAATACGCCATAATGTTTACAGTCTATCTGTCAAGGGCTATGTTTGATTGTATTTGATAGGGTATAATACAATCGCTGCATTCGGTAATATAAAATATGTAACTATTGCAATGAAGTAATACATTGACCATTGTGAAGATGCCATACAGGCATGGCACCCCTGGGGCAATAGTAATCTTTAATTGACCCCATGCCAAGTAAATTACAGAAGAATATAGATTGTTATGAGGTTTTCTAATCTTTTCATGTGTATTTTCTATAATGACAGGTTTTCCGTTATTAACAACTAAGAGAGTATTTTGGCGAGGTGTAGCAGAAGAGTTATTGTGGTTTATTAAAGGTTGCACTAATGGAAAAGATCTCAGTGATAAAAATGTCCGTATCTGGGATGCGAATGGTTCACGAGAGTTTTTAGATAATCTTGGTCTCACACACAGAGAGGAAGGTTTGTTGAGTAAAGTTTTTTATTAACAAGTTTCAGTAAACTATTTACTCCCACGACAATTTGTTGCAGAAAAGACGTAAAACTCCATTCATTTCATTTTTATTATACTTTTTATTGCAGGTGATCTGGGACCAGTTTATGGTTTTCAATGGAGACATTTTGGAGCAGAATATAAAGATATGCATACTGATTATTCAGGACAGGGAGTAGACCAGCTACAAGATGTTATAAATAAAATAAAAAATAACCCTGAAGACAGGAGAATCATCATGTCAGCTTGGAACCCTCTAGGTAGGCTCACTTACATCAAATCCCTAGATCATCCATTCTAAAAACAACATTCGAGCTGGTCTTGAAATTAGTAAGTTAGGATTGTGATGGAATATACTAAAATTACTATCTGTTTTCAGATCTGAATAAAATGGCGTTACCTCCATGTCATTGTTTAGTTCAGTTTTACGTTGCTAACGGTGAATTGTCTTGCCAACTGTATCAGCGATCAGCAGATATGGTGAGTTTAACTTAATATATATAATACATTGCAGCCAGCCTTATTGCAGCTCCCTATCACACCTGAATGCAGACCTTGAAATTTTAGCATTGAGGTAGCAAATATTAACAGAATAACATTGTCATTAATTGTTTCAGAGATCATTATATTACTGAGTTTTGTGTAAATGATATTTTCAGGGTCTTGGTGTACCATTTAACATTGCCAGTTATTCATTATTGACCTATATGATAGCTCACGTTACACATCTGAAGGTAAGGTTATTATTTCAACACGTTTTTTTAGGGTTATGTTTTAATATCTCTATATTACTCTACTTTAACGCACTATTTTAACAATGAAAATAATTCATTATTATTATTATTATTATTATTATATTTGTAGCCGGGAGATTTTGTACATACTATTGGTGATGCCCATGTTTACGTGAATCATACTGAACCATTACAAGAACAGGTATAAGAGACTTATTAACAAAAATTATATAGAACTAATATGCTGAAAGAAATCGTTGACATATCGATTTTAGTTAAAATGCTTAGACATAAAACATAACCGCTGACCGCTGGTTATGAGATTACGAGATTTTATTATTTATCCCATGAATCACGACTGTACAGAAAATAATTCATTTGAAAATCAAAGATAACTGTTACTAGATCATACATACGCATATTAATTTTGATGTCGAAATGAGGTATTTGGTGAAAAAACAAATTACAATTTTGTTTGGTTATTATTTTTGTAATTATAATTGTAATCTAACAAGATTTTTAACCAGGTCGGGTTCATTATAATTAGATTGAGAATAAGTAAGACTAGAAACCACTATATAATTTCTTTCACATGAATATTCCTGTGTTGTACCAGTGCTAGCTTGAAAGTTGTGATCTAAGGCTGTTTTCTGACTTGTTGGTCTGTCTTTTATAATAGATTACTTTTGAATATTTCAGCTTCAGAGAAAGCCTCGACCATTCCCTACATTGACATTAAAAGATGGAGTAAAAGATATCAACGATTTCAAAATGGAAGATTTTGAACTAACTGGTTATAATCCATATCCTAAAATAAAGATGGACATGGCTGTTTAGAACTGTCAGGAGAGAAGATTGTCAAAAATTCCAAGCATTTAGTGCCTTCTTGGTCCAAAATATGAGCATTTACTTTTAATATATAGAAATTTATAAATATACAAATATATCTAATTGACTTTATGCAATATTAGAGAATAACTTCAGTAGGGACTGAATTTGTTGAGAAAGAATTTATTTTGACTGTCGAAAATAGATGTCTGAAGATCTCTACTAGTCAAACTTCAGTAGGAACGCAGGCTGAAATAGGTCACTTGTCTGAAGATCTCTACTTGTCGAACTTCAGTAGGGACGCAGGCTGAAACAAATCAGTTGTCTGAAGATTGGATCTGAGCAACTATATGTTTCAAGTTGTATTTTAATATTTCTAGTAAAAAGAAATCAACTTGTCTTGCAGAAAGAAAAGTATTTATAATTCACTGGTTTTGTGGTTACAAAAAATTTCTCCTATTGTTTGAAATAATTGAGAGAAATAAAGGATTTATTTTTATTTTATCATCTTGCATTTTTTTTACATTCTTTTGTCTGATTGAAAAGAATTGTTCTAGGCTCATAACAGTTCAGAATTTCTTTTACAATTACCTTGAAAAAAGAGCAGGGTAATGATGCTGTCCTGGCAACATTTCACTCATTGCACACTGCATGGCGTTGCCCGTCTTCATTAGCCAAATTAACCCAAAGTAAAACTCATTTCTGTGTCTATTATCTATTTATCCTGTTCTTTTCATAAAGAATTGATAATTTATATATTTTTCATACATAATATTTGAGAAATATAAATCTTGTAACAAATTTATGTAGTCTTATGTTGATGTACTGGCAAAATTTCCCTCGTTGCACACTGCACGGCATTGCCTGTCCTCATTAGCTCATTAGGTGCACAAGAGTAGAACATAAAACTCCATTTTCTTTTGTAGTAAGTTTATAATTAAAACAGTTTAATTAATTTTCATCATTCATACAACAATAATAATAATAATACATACAAAATATAAATATTAAAAACAATGGTTTTATTAAGCCAGGTCCAAGAATCTACCTTGAATTGAGGAAAGATATCAGTCAACTGATTTTCACAACCCACAATCACCAGTTAGTCAGCAACGTAAACAAGCAAGTGACGTCATTCTAGTCTTTAGTTTTCAACTCTCTAAATACAACTGCGCTTTTATCTAGAAACCTTCGCCAAATCTTTTAGACATTAATCTTCCCAAGATTATCTCTACTCATTAACAGCTGCATTTGAATTTGGGCGTATAATAAAATTGTGTTTAAATCAAATTATAAAATACCCTCATCTACCTCAAAGCTAATATAAAGAAGCAGTTAATTCTACATTCCTCTAAATTTGGTTGAAGAAATTCTAATTTCTTGTTAGACATTACCTCTGATAGCTACTAGGATGAGACTGATGGATGGATCTATATAGTACAATGAGAATGATTGATGAAATGAAGTTTTACATCTAGGCTACAATCTAATTAAAATTAGATTACAAATGCATTCGTTATTTTTTTTTGCCACTCATCATTGTCATCTAACGAGATTTATACCAAGGTTACATACAGGTGACATTTCAAGCTATTTATAGCAGAAAATCGTGCAGCTCTCCAGCCAATCAGAAACACTTTCACAACCACAAGTCTCATTGTTCAAATTGCTCTTCTTTTGGTTTCGCTATCCCACAATACATAGTTGATATCTAAACACGGATTCTGCATGACATGCTCTGATTGGTTGAAATGAAAGTCAACCGTACACGACCTTGGTGTAAATATCGTTAGATTACAATGAATAGCGGAAAATAACTAAACAAAATTGTAATCATATTTTACATAGATTGACTTGATGTCTGAATGGATAATAAGTCATCACTTATACAGAGCAATTAAAAGCTATATTCCATGGACAAAAAGACAAATCAATGAAATCACCTGGCCTGATGATTGTTGTTATATCCATAACACATTGACATCATAACTTAAACCATTTATAATGTAAAATAAGCCACCAGAATTATGTGCAAGTCAGCAGATTCAGAGCCAGTTCTAGAACTAATCAAATAACAAAAACTTGGTAAATCTTAAAGCAATAATTTAACAAAAAACACTTTTTCACCATTCATTCTTTATACATTAACATTCCACTTTTCTCAAATATTTTATACAAATAATGATGAAAACTGCATCAAATCTTAACTGTTAAATCCATCTTCACAATGTCAAACTATTACTAACTTTGTCTTATACCTTGACTGTAATAGCCTCCTATATAGTATCACGGAATGCAAGGATTTGATTTGATTGTACATTAATGAATACAGCCAATCAGAGAGCTTGACAGAAAGTTAACATTATTGCATCGCATTTGCAGACTTTCTATCAAGGGTTTTGACTTGACTGTCTGCCATTAATTTTAGTGTTATTTAAGCATGATAGCTTTAAGTCCTTGATTTCATATCAAAAGTTAAAAGTTTTTTTCCAATTAGAAATAACAGATTAAGATTGATGCAGTCTTCAGAATAAAAATAAATTGGATATGTTCAAAATAATATCATCATCATTTTTATACAATAATACAATCTATTTATATAATACTTCATCACAACTTATTTGTGAAAAACTTTCCTCAAAACCACCAGACAACACAAAACAATACCAGACAATACAAGACAATTTCATCAATCAAAATCTCATCCAAAGTATGACAAAATCAGGAGTAAAAGTTGTATAAAAGTGAAGTACCATCAGGTGTTTTTGTAAATAAACAGTTTCAATAGGTAAAGAGTTTCATAAATTTATTGATGGATATTTGACTCATTTCATTTCTACCTTCTTGGTTTTTTCAACTTGTGATTTTTGGATTACCATTTTGCCATTTACCAGTCTTATTAAAATTAGACCAACCTTTTGTTTCATTTCTTTTATTAGCTTTAATTTTTAATCTAGCCATCTACATGAAGTGGCTATATAAAAAATAAGAGCTAATAAAAAATGGAACGAAAGTTTGGTCTATGTTTAATTTCACAAGGTAGGTACCTGACAATTTTTGTCATTATTATTAGTACATGTACAGTGATTTAGTTTTCTGGTTGTTTTGTACTGTTGTCACTAGTCCACTTGTTTCAGCTTTTGTTAATGAAAGGTGGTTCTACTGGTTTTGTGTTGATTTTTCACAAAAAAGTTTTGTAAACTATGTAAGCAGTTAAAATTTTCCCCATAAAAAACACAAATAATACTGGATCTTTCTGGACTAATTCTGTTGTAGATTCAAACATTTTTATTTTTGAAAACAGAACTCTCGCGGGAGTCTGAAACTTAGTAGTTCTTAAGACTCATTTACGCTACAAGCTGAGCAGGGCGTTGCGGAGAGGAGAGGCATTAGTTTCTTGTTTCTTTCAATGTACAGAAACTCAGCTGTTTACACCATAAGCAGGGAGAAACAGAACAGTGCCATGTTCAGGAAATTCGGCTGTCATTTTTTTTAGCTTGCAGCTGGTGGGTGTCCTCAGTTCAATTAGTATGGCAAAGAAGTCAAAGGAGCGCACACAGGAAATACCCCATAGCGAATGATGGATTTCAGGTGGCACAGCCCTGTTCGACTTATATATCAGAACACCTGACCGCGCTGCTCTGCTCATCTCTACCCTACCCTGCTCTACCTCTAGTGTAAATGAAGAAATGATTGTTAAGATTCCCTGCCCTGCTTATATGCGAATGTCTGAGAGCACTGCTCCATCCTTCTCTACCCTGCCATACTCTGTTAGTTGTGTAAGCCAGCCCTTAGTCCAGCCAAGGTTTTGCTCACTTCTTGGTACCATATCATAAATACAAACAGTCAATTCTACTCTCACGTAATTACGTACTAATGAAAAACTTAAAGGAATAAATTAAATCATTAGTCAAAAATCTTCTCAAAAATATTATATACCTTATCAGACATATTATATACCTTATCAGACATATTAGATATCTTATCAGACACAACTGGCAAATCTGGCTAAACCCTGCTCAAAATTCGAGATTGGTAAAAAGAGAAATCTAATCAGACTTAACTAGCAAATAAAGCCAATCAAAAACCCTGCCCAGAAGCTGAGTAACAACAACAATTCACTGAGAAAGTCCATAACAATTGGTTGGCCAAGGTTGAAACATTATTAAAATCTAATCAATGAGGTATTTTAGACCTCCAATCAAAATGTAATCAAGACAACTATATAACCAAGTAAAGTAATAAGTAAGTTTGCGATATCAACATCCACTGGAAGCGAACGTTAACTTGTCATCTACCAACAACTACCTAGTCTGTGATATCAGCATCCACTGGAAGCGAACGTTAACTTGTCATCTACCTACCTAAGTTATTGCCATAAAGAGTCCAGTATAATTTGTAAGAGAATTAACATGTGCAAATTTGGGGGTAAAATGTAAGATGATATAAAATCCGAATCCCAGTAACAGACGAGGGCTAGGTCCTGAGTGATGTATTCAGTCCGATATCTGACCATTTGTTTCATCAAAATAGAAAATCTGATCCATACACTTACTTGGGGTAAAATATCATTTAGTTTTATAATTCCTTGAAGCTCGTAACCACCACTGTATAGAGACAATGTTGTCCTAAGTGGTACTCGATTATTAAAAGTGTGGACCTGGCCTAGATTCCTAACTTCTCACACTGTTTCCAGAATACATGGCCAGGTTCAATCAGGCCCGTAGCTAGCCCAGGGTCTCAACTATAACAACTCAACAAGTCATTTAAATCATCTTAATTTTTTAGGGGGGTCCAAATTTTCTTAGTGGGGGCTAGGCACAGTCTAGCTACAGGCCTGGGTTCAATTTGAGTGAATTTTTTACAATAAGACATAGGACTGTATACACTTCTAGTCGAGCAAAGATATTCATGTACATCCACTTCACAACAGTTGAGTTGAGTTGTCCATCTTATCTTACATATTTCAACCCTAGTGACAGTTTACTGACCACATACTTACACAATATATATCCAACGCTGGCGTTACCAAGTGATGTCACACGATCTTTTTTACTCTCAGGGTTCAAAAGGGTTAAGTAATATCAACACAAATTGATGTTAATTTGATCTGTATAGTTTCTATCAATTCTCTTACTTAAATAATCTACTCTATCTAAATATATAAGTTTTGATTTGACTGGGATAAACACAAATGTCTTTGCTCGACGATATCACCTAATATCACTAAATCATCCTGACTCAATATCATCCAGTCCTGGACAAGACAATATCATCCAGACCTGGACAAGACAATATCATCCAGACCTGGAAAAGACAATTTCATCCAGCCCTGGACAAGACGATATCATCCAAACCTGGACAAGACAATATCATCCAGACCTGGACATGACAATATCATCCAGACCTGGAAAAGACAATATCATCCAGCCCTGTAAGAGTTAATCACACTATTAGAGAGATAGATATAGTAATCTATGTTTACTGCTAGGACATCTCCGTATCCTGGGAATGTTCAGACTGTCGTGCCGCTTCGTAACTATTCTGAAAATATATAACATTACAAGTGAACATTTAACACTCTGTAGTTTCTGCAATTCCATTAAAACTAGGTGTGTTATGACAATCGCGAAGGGCCTTTTGTGTTAAACATAGTTTGCAGGAAGCACAGACGTCTGACTGAAAATTGGAATGGTGCAAATTGATGAGCTGAGTGTCACGGATTCAAAAAAAAATATTGTGGTTACGTAACACCTTGATGAGCTACAAAATCTTGCGCTGTGATTGAGCCTCTTTCCACCATGATGCACAAATGACAAAAAGAAAAACTAAGAAAAATCAGTCTGAAGTTCAAACACGAACGAAACTAGTCACTGATGATCAGGGATAACTGGTCGCATAGCCAATCTTTATCTCTTTTAAAAAGAAAAACTTACTGCAAATATTAACCATCTAGCAGCGTCATTGGAAACAGGGGGACTGGATGATAATTCTGTTTGACTAATAATAGGAGATACTGTGTTGACTCCATCAACAGGACTTTTCTCGGGAGTGGCAAATGGATTACTGGGGTCTAGAGGTGTGGTCATTTCAACAAAATCTTCTCCTACTCGAGACATTTGCTGCGTGACTGCTAATAATCCCCCATCTTCTACATTTATAACTACCTGTATCACTTCTGAAATAAATAACGAGCAAAATAAAATATAACCATTACTGCTGGTAATCCAAATGAAATGGGGTTTTGTATTCTATTTTCTTCATCTCATCTAATAGAATGAAGACGAGCAAAGCATGGCTTGTGGAATGAAGGAAAGATTGAGTATAATCTCAACCTATACTGAACCCTGAACCTGCAAAAGCGAATAACTCACTAAACCAATGAAAAATAAACAGAAGAAATCATGACAAGGTATTCAGATAATTATAATAATCCAAGATCTGTCTCTAATAACAATTGAACCAAAATGAATGGAGTTTTACGTCCTACTTTTCTTCACCATGTTGGCTAATGAAGACGGGCAACGCCATTCATTGTACAATGAACAAAATTTTGTAAAAGGGAGGCATTAACCTAATTCTTTTTTTAATTTCCAATGACTTGAAAAAACTACTGACTGACTATACTGAGGACTTCATTTCCAAACTCTGTATAACTTTACAGATGAATTAATGATTAAAAATGTAGAATATTTGGGAAAAAAATTAATTGAATGAAAATATTTAATGGCTGCTGCGTTAACATCTATATTTTTATAAATTTACATCAAAATACAACACAACATAATGATCCTACCTCCAAATAATGTACCAGTTGATGTATTCATTCTCCACTGTCCCTGATATACCCCTGATTTACCAGGGCTCACCATTTCTATACTAACATTCGATTCTTCATTAGGTGACAGTCTATCGACCATAACCCGATCTGTCCTACTCATATTATCTCCTCCACAAAATCTTAACGAACATCCCGGCGGCCAACTTTCACTACCTGGTAATAAGATGAAAAAATAAGTTAGTGTTTTTCCCAAATAAAGAGAAATAAAAAGAAAGAAGCAACTATATTTTACAAGGATGAGGACTTAGGTTCACAGTTGAGGATCCCTCGTCAAAACTCTTGGCATTGGTCTTTCTCGAATCATCTGTATCCATTCACAGCTGGGTTGACTGAATATTGAGGACATCTTCAAGCTCACACGCTGACTGAAATCAGAACCAATGATCACCATTTGTTCGACCAATCAAATGAGGTGGAAAAAGACCAAAAAGTGTATTTATGAAAATTTTCCTAAATAAAATCCATTATTTTGCTATTTTTTCCCATATGACTACTACTTACCCCCATTTTTGATTCTCCATGTTTTGACGAATGGTGTATTTGGTGGAATAGCCTCCCCTTCTCCTATAGTGATATCTTTAACAAACGCCATAGCAGGCAGGGTAACTGATGGCTGCTCGAAATCATAATATGATCCTATAGCTGCCTGTAAGTTCCTAGAAATCAAAGATACATTGTTGTTTTGTGAACTAAAGATCAGTAGTTTCAGTCCTGTGCTTCGTGTAGGGTAATCAGATATTAGTGAGATTGATATACACAATATTTATTTTCTATCTATGATATCAATTACAATACTGGTATATAATATAACATGGATTCAGAAACAAGAACACACTGATGTAAATCTGTCTCTATGTGATTGGGATACAGTCTTATTTTTGTTCAGTGAGCATGTCTTATTGTTTTAGGGTCATTACGGAGACGACTGATAGTTTGTGAACCATTTAATATGTATGGTATAAAGTATAGCCACATTTCCTTTTGACTTCTGATCAACAAGATGAGTTTGGGCTCGTGGACTAAAGTAGGTTGGGACCCCTCACCTAAACAAATTTTTCTTAACATATGCTCTCCTGCATTTTTTGCTTGGGGTGGGTGCCCATGGATTTGATTCAACCATTCAGTATGCCATGGTTATTTAGCCATGAATCAGCATTTTAAATATTAATTCAGCTATGCCTATGGTTATGTTCCTATGAATTCTATATGAAGATGAGACTGATGATGGATCTGATCTACATGAATAACTTATTAAAATAATATTCATCAGAAACTGTAGCGTGTAGGATATTAAACTAGTTGTCATGACATGGCATGAGACCACCATAATATAATGACACTGCCACCCACATTCGCAAGGTTATAAATATAAAGTTATAACTTGTTTTATATCGAGCCTTTTTGGCAAAAGTGCCACATCATCGATATTGGCATCATAATGAATGGGGGTTTTAAACAAGTAAATTCCTCAATCCAAGATGTTTAAATTCATACCAATTGTTCATATCAAGGAAAAAAGCACAACTGCTAGGATTGAGTTGATTGCCAAGCAATTTTTGGAATTCTGCGATCAAAACATCGCGATCTGTGGTGCCCATAGAGCTAAACTGCTGTAATAGTTTCCCATCTAGATCGTTCAATTCATTGTCTACGTCCATCTTGACTAACTACACGTTTCGGAATGGCTAAAAGTGTATCTGATACGCTATTAATTCAAGTTTTCAACTTATTTCAGGATTTTCGTCATTTTTCTAACACTGCAAGACGCCATTATTATTGTTTCTGACGCGTGCGCGGAAGCTGACAGAGTGCTGGGAGTTTTATGCAAATTAGCCATGCGAGTTTTACTAGTCGCGATCTTCCAGTTGCTATATAAATTTCCTTTAAATTGTTCTCGATCTTCCAGTTAATTTCATGTCCCTAAATCTGATTTTTACGACTAAATTTTTTTTTTAACTATAATCAATCCCTTTTAAATGCCTATTATTGATTTCACGTGTGCCAATTGTAGGCCTACAGCCAAAGAGAAACCAGTCATAGTTCAGGCTTAGTTTTAGCTCTTCCTAAAGGACTTCCCTCCACCTTGCCTTAGGTCTCTTTCCCAAGAATCTACTTTCTTCTAAGGCAACCTTGGCATAACAGTAAAATTTTTAAAGAAACCAGTCACAGAGTCACATCAGGCTATGTATTCTGGAAACGATTTTAGCGCTAGGATATCCTAGAATCAATGTTAGAAGATAAGAACCTAGGATGTCCTACAGCTAAGTTTGTTTCGAGAATACGTGGCCAGGTGTTCCAAGGGTAAGCATGCCCTGTCAACAACCACAGTATTTTTTTCAATGGAGAAATATTGTGGGATAAAAGATTCAAAATTTGTTTTTCTCAAGTTTTGTGAGAAATTTATTCAAATGATAGAATTATCAATAATAATAAATATCACAGGTTTCCATGGTAACCCACACATTCCAGAATACACACATTTACTAAAAATGCACCAAAATTCCATATTTCCATACATTCTACATATTCAAAAATATAATTTGAACCCTTAGGTGTCTCCAAAAAGATGTGGGAATTCAAAACCATCAACATTACATCATATTTTCCACAAGTTATTTCAACAATTTATTTTGGAAGCCATCTCGTCTCTCAATACTTATTCATTTAATCTTAGACTTAGAACTGCCATATTGGAAGCTCCATAATTCTTGATACACCTGTAGCCTATTTGTTGGTCTTCAATACAACTAACGACTAGCCTCGAAATGAGGAACGATATCAAATCTTTAACACTTCCAAAACATTCTATTATGTTTGACTTTAACAGGTAAAACTCTTTCTTATCAAAATTTGTTGAATTTTCAACGAATGTCTACATGTTAAGATGTCAAAATCTTCAACACTTCAGCCACTATCACATATTTCTACCATGTTTTACTTCAACAGGTAAATTCCTTTCTTATCAACATGTCCTTCCACTTATTCTGGTTGATAAAAAAAACAAAACAAATGTCCAGTTTGAAGATCCAAGATGTCATCGTTTTGTTTTCTTCTTCATCTGCCAAGTATCAAATTTCGTGTAAGCTGCACTTAACATGTCTTCAAGGTGACCCATTAACTATAAAACAGAAACAAAACATATTTTACAATGATAACAACTTTCACATGGATCGTTTCTACCAGCTGATTCCTGGCGAACCTACTGCGTTGACTTTACAAAGATAACAACTAAGGTTAACAGGGATCTTTCTATATGCTGGTCCTTGACCAAATCTCTTGTCATTGACTATACAAGGATAACAAATTAGGTTCACAGGGATCTTTCTATCTGCTGATTCCTGGCGAACCTCTTGGCAATCATTTAATATATAATTATCAATATAGTTCTAAAGAATGTATCAAATATTTTAACTTGGGGTCTTATTCTCTTGAATTGAAACCTTCAATTTCAAGAATATAACTCTAGATATTTGAAATCAGCATGATGAATTCTGGTTTCAGGAATCGACACACATAAAAATAATCAATCAGCATGAAACATTAGTGGGTTAAGAAATTACAAGCGTAAAAATAATCTAATAAAAAATACATACATTAATATTATAATGGTTTTCATTTAATTTATCTTTCAGTGGGTTTAATTTAGCTAGTTGGAATCTTTCTAATGTTGACCTCATTTTCACCACCTATAATCATATAAACATTAATAAAATCATTTAAACCAAATAAAAAATCCAGTATTTGGTCACATTTGATAAAATAAGAGTCTGGGCCATGTTTCTCAAAAAATTTTAATATCTGTTAGTAGATATCATTACAAATTAATTATATCAAGGTGAAAAAATTCCTAAAATAAGAATCTGTCGTTTGTGTGAAATTTTACCCTGAGAAATATCATACTAATGACAAAATTTGATAGTAAGATTTGTTTGTGAAACAGAGCACAGAGCTCATAGTTAAATAGTAAGTGTCCAGCTGTGATTTAGATTTATTGCTATCAGTATTTACATGTACAATAAAATACATATTACTATAGCATATAGTTATATAACATTAACAGCTCTACATATCACTTCTATACAAGTATATTTGTTATATTCAACGCATCAATAGGCTTAGCATGACAACTCCAGCTATACCCAGTTTCTCAGAGCTGATCTACGGATGGGACATCATCAATTGATAGAGCCAGATCGACTCCCATATACCACAACATTTGATGACAGGTCCTACAAATAGACAATATTATATCTGTATGTCACGTCTAAGGAACTATGTAGAGCTATAGATTTAGGGATCCAATATGTTGTAAATTGTCAATTGAAAACATTTAATTCTTTTTTCCCCGCGTACCTTTTCTTCTAAAAATTTTGACGAGACTGGAAAACAGTTCCAGAAGTGGCGTAATAATTCACAGAGTGCTGAATATTGCTGGCGTATTTCCTGCTGAATATCTTTTGGTATCATTTCTGTAAAAAAGAAAATTATCAAATTTATAATGATGCTTATACTGAATAAGTTTCATAGTTGATAAAAACGTCAAGCAAATTGTAGTTGTGGGTTCTTATCTCAGTCAGCAAGTATAAGTTTGCCAGTTTGTTCATTATTCCTGCAACCCAGGCCACTTATTCTCGAAATGATCTTAGTGCTAGGATGTTCTAGGACCTTATCTTCTAACATTGATCCTAGGACGTCGTAGGTTGTTATCTTCTAACATTGATTCTAGGACGTCGTAGGTTGTTATCTTCTAACATTGATCCTAGGATGTCGTAGGTTGTTATCTTCTAACATTGATTCTAGGACATCCTAGCGCTAAGATCATTTCGAGAATACATGGCCAGGTGTTCTGCTGATAAGACTGCAAAACTGAGAAACTTACGATGTAACTGTTGATGACTCGTTCCTTGCATTAAGGCTCCCCCTGGTGACAGTTCTCCCAATACACCAACAGCACTGTTTCCCGTTAATATCTAGAATATAAACAATAATAATAACAAACATAAAAAATATACTACTAATTCTCTTGCTCACAGACGTACGAATAACACTGATACGAAAACACGATCTTTCTGTGGTCAAAGTACTATCCTAATCATGAACTAATATTTTTATTTGTTTTGTGCTTTGAATCCATAGTTCCTAGCATTTTTTTTATTGGAACCTACATCATTAAAATCCAAGACCAAGTTTCAATTTCAATGTATATGAAAAGTTCATTAGCTGGTGCCAATATGTTAACAAACTGTTATTTTGAATCGCAGAATTCGTTTTGCAGTTTTGAGTGTTAGTACTTGACGTTTCTAATTGTAACTTACATTATTAAAATCCAGTGACCATGTATTAATATCGTTGTTAACTGTTTGTGAGGCGTGTAATACTGTCTGACTACTGGTATATCGACATGCTGTGACGGGGGTGGGGCCGTGTAAATATCTCTCCATCTTGTCCAATCGTAAACTAACGCTGTCTTTTTTACTCTCCTCTTCTAAATCTTCGAATTGTATCATCTCTTGTATTATTCTCTATAATAAATCAACATACATCAAGATTTTTAAGCTCATTCATTTTATTGGTCTTGTGAAGACTTGTGAAGACATTAAGTGTGCAATTAAGGTAATTTACATTTTTAACAGTTTACAGGATTCCTCATCTTGTAACACACAGTCTAGTATCTTCACGTTGAGTTCACAAGCTTCCCTTAGTCTTGATTTTGAATTGTTTATGGGATAAATCCAATGACCTTAAGTATGTCAGCTATACCCATTATTCCAGTCAACCCAGTTGTAAATGGGTACTGATAATCCAGGGAAGATCATTCCATAAATCGATCTGTGGCACTGATAGACAGGGACAATAATATACAACCTCATTAATCATCAAAAATCAATGGTTAAGGCCAGATCAACTCCTATATAACATGATATTTGATGCTGGTCCTACCCATTGACAATATCATATCTGTATGTCACGTCTGATGAACTGTGTAGAGCTAGAATATGATTCAAATTGACAATATTTATATCTGTTTGATGAACTTTGTAGGGCCCATGTTGTAAATGAGAGTTGATCATCAAATATTAAAGCTTACCTTTTTATGTGGAGGTTCATCAGTAGAAGTAGAAGGTAAAGATTTAACAGCTATATGTCCATTGTGTATATTATTATTATTGTTAACACTGTGGGAACCATTCGAACCGTTCGTCTGTCCGTTATTAATATCAGTATTTTTATCTCCTATAATCTGTTTACTACTGGATGATATTTCACAAGCTTTTAACACCATCGTAGAATGATGGTTAAAACGTTTAATCATTGATACATTAATCTGATTGGCTGATTTTCTAGCACCACCCTCAGATATTACACGATATTCCTGTAACAGAAAATTTGAATTATTGATCATTGTGAAAAACATTAATATTTACAAAGATTTAAATAGTCTGCTAGTTATCTATTTCACACCCCTCAACTTTCTAATGAATTCTTCCACACATGCATAGTTTCTTGCAATACTAAATTGTATGTGTATAATTGGAATAGCTTATTTGTAAAATTAGGGGTGTTTTTGGTTGAATGTGTGAATAATGCCTACCCACCTCTCCTAATGAATTGTCTGAGATAGTTGTTAAATCCATCATAGGATTTTTCACTTGTTTCGACATTTCTTCTTTCATTTCTGTAACAAGACAATACGATCAGATCCCCAAAAACAGATCATAGAATAATATTTTAAAGGATACGATCTTTTGAGATCTGATTGAGAAAACTACTTTTTTACAGTAATTTTCACATAGTTAATATGAGTATCTATTGCTCTGTGACCTAGGCCAGTGCTTTCATTGATAATTGTCTCAATACACATTAACTCACAAAAATGACAAATATTTACATGTTCCTACTCTCTATCTAATGAACATGGAGCTGCAGTTGCTCAGTGAGTTAATGTTTGCCAACCTGAAGATTCTGGGAAGAAATCCAGTATAGGTAGAAGTTGAAACGGGAAGAGCATGTTGTGGTTCAGATGACACAATAAACCAATACCCCTTGTATAAATGATCCATGAACAGTTGGAAATCAATGGAGAGAGGACTAATGCTGTCCTGGAAAATTTTACACTACTTTATGTAGTGACCAAAAAATATATTAGATGACCTACCTTCCTCATCATTTTTGGCGCAATCAGAAAACAGATCTTTATTTCCTACATTCATTCTGTCTCGGTGGAAATAATGTGACTGAAAGAATCGGGTCCAGAATTCACTCTCTGTCAGTTGATGTGGGACACTTTCTGCATGTTTCTTTCTCACTGAAATATTATTCAGAATAAAATAATACACTTTAACCGTTCAACATAAAACTGTTCTCTAACGTCATTGTCAGCTGAGGTCACTCTTCTACTAATGGATGTAAAAATACTTATTGAATTTGAGCTCCACCTTAAAAGCACGGAGGTGGGGTGTCATGAAGTCATGCTCGCTCATCTCTAGCATCCATTTTGACTAGATTTGTCAATACCATATCCTTGATAACCTAGCTATTGTTATTCTATTCATGCTCTTTGATAAATTTGACTTTCAAAGTGCTAAGTTTCTCAGAACTCAGCAACTGAGTTTGCTATTTCACTTTAAAAGTTGACACAATTTAGCATTAACATTAAGATTATTGAACTTAGTATAGCGCTCATTACGTTTTCAATGGCACTTTACAAACACAGATATATCTACAATATAGTCAAAGTCTATACACAGTACAGTACAGAATAACTTACCCATAGGATATGTTTTAAATATAGATTCTATAATATCAGCTGTTAAATTATATTTTAATCCATTGCAGCCGTCACTTTGTGGTTTAATATCGGCCTACAATTAAATATTTTAATTACATTTTATATGTTGAATTATCAATTTGACTTGAAATATTGCGGAAATGTTTCATGATTTCATGTAATAAGAATTCACAAGTAACAGTCTGTTGATTTGCTGCAATAAAAGTCTAGTAATAAAATTTCTTTTGGAAATTACAGGAATCACAAATATCAGATAAACCAGTTGTTATCAACCTTTTTCAGTCGTCACACCCCTGGAGTAATCACATGGACCTTTCGCACCCTAAAAAAATTTGGTTCATCCACATTTTCAGCATGTGATGATGCAAGGTGCTCTCTCAATTCAAAATATATTCTTCTCCTACACCAGTTGGCCACACCCCTGACACCCTAGTCCCAAAACACCCCAGGTTGGGAACTGGGAAGATAGAAGGACTTAAATTTTAATTGGTCAAATAGTAGCTAAAGAAGCTCTACTAGACAAATAATAATATAACTAGAGGCTAGAAAACATCTTTACCATCTATAAAAAGTTAAATAATGAAACTTACAAGGAAAGCAGGAGAGACTCCAACTGTTTGGTTTGGTGTGCTCACTTTACTACTACTAGCTAATTTCTAGAAAACAATATTAATATGTTATCAAACATCAAATATATCAGAATAGGAAATAATCTAAACGCTTAACGGTCAAACTAATAAAGCCCTAGTTCCTCTCCATTCAGGAGTCTTTTTCTCGATAACTAACTTACATAGGACTTTGTGTTCCAGTCATCTGATAGACCAATCATTAATATCAAGTAAAAACTCAAAGTTTAATATCCAATCTGTTTTTTAAATCTACATGTTAGCTAAGTTTTTAAGGCCCCAGATTAGTTGTGACAGTGTGTAAGTATTTAAACAACTTACATTAGAAATTGTAGACCAGAATTCTTCCGCTGAAATAACCTGACTAACAACTAAATCTTTATAGAGTTGAAATATCTCAGGGTTTTCTTGAAGGATTCTAAATAGGATACAGAAGAGGTGCATTAATATAAAATAAGGGCCAGTAAATAATCAATAGAGTTCAATTTAATCAGTATCGCAACCCAGTTTACAAGTAAAATAAAAAAAAACTTTTGCGATCCAATATTACCTCTGATTATCCAAATTAAATTTCATCACGACCCTTGAAGTCTTGAAGTGTGTTTAATTCAAATGTAAAATCTTCAACCCCTATATTTCTATACATCCAAAGACACTTGAGAACTAATAGCTTGCAGTTAAAAATTTGTTTTTGAATATTTGTGATTTGACAGAAAATGATTAATTCTGAGCTCTCTGAGACCAACCCTAAATAGGATACATACTTATTTTTTTCTTCCAATTCACTACTAATTTTACGTTTAAATTTGGGTAAGAGTTGTTGGAGTATTTCTTTAACGCTGTCTCTATCTTTTATCATGGCTGGTCGACCTTCAGGATTGTTAAAATGAAACGTATTAGCTCCTCCATCATTAAATACCAGCTGTAACTGGACTTTATCTTTCGTGTCTGGAGATATCTTCTGACCTTTTAATTATAAATTAGTTAAAAAGATAATAATATTTTGAAAATCAGATCAAATGACCTTTAAGAGAATGTAAAGAGGTTTTCTAAACTTCTAATGTGTATTGGGGACACTGATAGCATCAATTTGCACCATTCCAATTTTCAATCAGTCGTCTATGGTTCCTGCAATTCCACTAAAACTTATCGTTTTATGGCGTCACTATCACAAAGGGTCTTATATGATATAAACAGACTTTGCAACAGTGACGTTATCAAACACAGCAAGTAAATAACTGGCAAATACAATAAAGTAAAACTCAAGGTCTTTGAATGGCATTTGGTAATTGTGGGTACGATATATAGAGAGATTATTGTTCCATAAAACTGTGTCTATATAAAGTAAAACTCACTTTTAATATCAGCATAAAGATGACTTATTGTAAAAGTGTCTTTTCCACCAGGCATCCATGCCAGTCTCTCTCCCATTAAATACATGGTACCGTCCGTTTTTTTCTGCCGGACATGGTTGACTATTAATAACACTTCTTCTGATGAACGAGACATTTTTAACTTCTGAAACTTTTCTAGGCTGCAAAAGAAGTATTCTGATTAAATTAAAGAGAGAAAACTTCTAATAAAAAATCCAAGTCAAATGTCCCAAACCAGAACAAGCTGATTTTTCAGTTTTCTATTGCTTCCAAATACTTCAGCTAATATAATTTGCTCTCTACCAGCTATTGCCATCCCCCCCCCCCCCCACCCCCCTGCAAATGCGACCCAAAGGCACTGGTTTGAGTTTATATTTGTCAGTCAGAGTATTATAGTATCTGGTCATTCTATCTTAAAAATAAATACAAACAAGTTCTGTCCGTTGCTCATACCATACCGGTCTCCTTCCCTTCCCATTGATTGGAATTCTTTCTCTTATCTAAGTTAAACTGGACAAATTCTGAACAAAATTATAAATATGATTTTTCGAAATGGGGATAGGGCGTCTAAATAACAAATTCTAATTGGGATTTTTACGATTTTCGTAAAGAAAGAGCAATAATTTCAATAGAAGACGATAGAAGATTTTTTTCATGCTCACATTTTTCAACCGGAAGTGAACGACATTCATCTGACTTACTTACGGTAATTTACGACATGCCGTTAATCGGTTTGCACAGCAACGTCTGAATGTAAACAGTAACCAAGGACGCTTTTGTGATTTTTACAAGAAAAGTAGTTAAAGGGCTGCTCCTTTCATGCAAGGGGCACTTCTATTTATAAGGGGATTATAGCCAAGATAAATCTTAAGTGTTTAAAAGCTGAGAAGGTCTGAATTCAACATGGAGGGTACGTTCCATTCCTTTTTTGATTTGAAATTGTTCTTTCTGACTTTCTCACTTTTTTTTGGTCATGGAATAATTCATGCAAAATGATGCAAAATTTTCTATTTAAAGATAGAATAATAAATATGTAAATGAATGGATAAGGATGATTAATTATAAGAGTAAAACAATAAGGAAGGTAAACAACTCTCCAATGACTCGAAGCTAAGAAATTGAGGTTTTCTAGTAAAAAAAATAGTTGACCTTGTTCATAGTGAGATTCAAGGTCAAGCCTATAGGTATAAAAATTATATCACCTCAAATTTCTACTTTTCAGTTCAAAAACCACAATCAAATGTGTCATTTATGACTACCTTAGATCGTGAATTATTCCCAACTAAGATGCCACCTAATAGATTTGGAAATGAAACTATTCCGTTAAGAGGTGCCCCACATCGAGGACCAGGTTGTTATGATAATGAAGAGGTATTTATATATTTTGTTACTTACTAGGATACACGATAAAACCAAATAGTTTGGACCAAAAATACATCATGTGAATAATTTCAACTAATATCCATGAGATGACAACTAGCTCCCATTTTCACAGACATTTCTGATTTCATCAACATTTTAGAAGTCTCATGCTGAAATTGTACATGGAAACTTTTTTGTGAAATGCAAGACATGATGCTGTACTATTTATTATAAGTAGGCCTACTCTTTCTGTAAGAACATTTTATCATGTTTTGTAAGATGAATTGACTGTAATTATATTTCTCTATCAATTTTAGAAAACTAATTTTTGGTATGATATAGAACACAAGATAACAAGTGAAAAAGGTTATACATTAGGAGCTAGAACAGCTGCTAGGATACCAGAAGTAGTTATTGTAAGTAACTATTTACCTCTCATACAACAGACGTCATATCTCCACCTCCCACCCCCCACAGACCTCACCCTCCCTAGATTACTGTTGTAAATACGAACTCCACCACCACCATAGTACAGACCCAAACTGCTCTCCCGAGGTCTAACAGGCTATTGAATGTGACTAGGCAGTGAATGCACAAATATAATTCTGTATTCTTATAGATGGTAAAATAGGTACCGGGTAGCAAATTTGTCTGCTTTCAGATATTTTCAATCTTGTGTTCATTGACATTTTAGGAGATTTATTTCTTTAAAATACCCATCAGGCTCAATACTTAATTCAAGGAAACAAACATCAACTGATCTGAATTTAAAGTAATTTTATTTTTTCAGTCCAAGACTCCCTGCCCCACAACATATCAAACACACTGTACAGATCCTAAAACATTTACTACCTCTAAAAAACCATTTGAAGTTGGTGCAGAGAGAGTAATATCACAGAGAACAGAGGCAGGACCTGGGTAGGTTAGGTTTAGTTATTTAAACTATTATCTGTAGGTCAGATGTAGGATGTAGGATCATCTTTTCTAATAATAAGGGTGGAGTAATTTCATGCAGTGTAGACTTACAATGAGGAAATTCTTGCCAAGACAACATAGTTTTGTGAATTCCAACTGTAGAATACACAACCTGACAGTTTAGAACAGTTTAAAAGTTTAATAAGGTACGATTGTGAATATAGAGCTCATTTTCTCACCCTCTAGTAAATCAGGAAAATTTTGTCACCGTAAGTAAAACACACGCAGTTCTCATTTGAAGTGTTTTGGGGATATTAATCTCCCATTTTGTTTCTTCCCTTGCACAATTATCAAATAAACTGAAATAATAATGAAATCTTTTTTTATTTTTAGGCCAGGAGCTTATGAACACAGTACACCTAAAAATAGACAAGTACAATGGCACCAATCATTTGGTGGAGCACCTATAAAAACACCTGAAATCAGTGTTCAGAGTACAATTAATAAAAATACTGACAAGGTAGGACTATTGATATTTGTCTAGCCTATACTTGATGTACGATGTACCGGCCAATAATTGACATCTAGACTGGTCTGTTGGTCATATCTGGAAAATACACTTATATCATCAGCCCATGGCGAGAATTTTGGAGAGAATTTGAGCATCTTATAACATGCTTCATTTCATGTTTTATCTGTGTGTGATTCCAACCATGATTTTAGTAAATTTTAATGCAAAACATGTTCTAGGTTATTAAGTTATTCAACTCTGTTCTATTTAATAACACTTTGAAAGAACAGGTAAAGCCATTAAACTGTCAATACACCTCTTGTGACAAATTGTGTATTTTGTCGTTTCTACATTAATTTGATTTTCTTAATACCTAAAACAAGAGAGCTCAGTTTTAAATTTTAAATATGGTTTACGTTTGAATATAAACGCCTATATTTATTTATATTTCAGTTGTTTAGCACTAAAGAAGAAAAGAAATACCATCGTAAACTAGCGTATTTAAAACTATACTATGACTGAACTGAGCACTGGTTCTTAATATTACGAAATAGTCACATCACATCAGGCAAGTCTTGGTATTTGGACATATTTGCCATTCATGTCTGACAACACTGTTAAATATCTTCTCTTCAATCTGATTATAAATCCATATTTCATTTTACTTTTTAAAGAGACTAAAGTCTTCCTTTAGTTAATGGTTTCTCCTCTGAATTATAATTTGTGTTATAATCAAGTTTATTTTGACAAATATCTGCTAATTTGAACTTCTCCATTAAAATACTGGCTTAAAAGTGTAAATGCACAATTTGGCGTCCATGATGTTATTTTATGATAAACTGTAACCTGTGTTTTTATTTTATATTTTTAAAACCTCTCTCATCATGTTATAAGTGAAATTATTAGTTTGTTAATGAAAGATGTTATATATTATAATGTTATTAAAGTTAACATGTTGTTTGATTATATCAGCTATAGTCCACTAGATACTTGGTGTATATCCTGACTGATTCAAAACTTAAACACAAGCATTCCACTTTATTATAGGCAGAATATATAATATTAGATATAATAAAATCTGTTTATAATTTGATTCAGACTCAATGTTCTAATATATCTTTGTTTCTCTAAATGCTATTATGTGTTAAAATATTAAATTATTTATAAATTATAAAGTATTTGTATGTTTTTATTCACCACTCTAACTTCCTGCCTGGTTCCAGTCATACTTATTGACATCTCTATTACCAAAACAGTTACCAGTAAGCTTGAGAGAGCAGATATTAAATGAAATAAGAGTTTTATATTCTTTGTTTGCTCTTGATTGGACTCTTAAAACACACACACCATTTGGTGGGTAATGAGGGAAAAAAAACCAGCTGCTACTCTTGGATTTCATATAATCACATAATGCTTAAAAAGAATATAGATAAATGCAACAAATTTTAAATGTGTTCAATTTGATTCAGTAGAGAAATCTAACACAAATTAAATAAAAAACACATTATATAATACAAACTTTATTTCTTCTTCATTTGGAGGAAATTCAACAAAAAATAATTAACAAATAATATACAAATTTACAGAATACACAAATCATGTGACATACTTGTATTGTAATTAAAAAGTTGATTCGTTAACAATAGTTAATAATTAATTGCACTTGTTCATTAAAAACTCAGATTTAGGGATTCAAACTTAGAATCAAGGGAACATGATATAAATAACTTAAATACAAAACGACAGTAAATTTCCTTAAATGTAACTCATCGCATTCTGAAATTAACTTGGATAATGACAATATCAAACGCTTGTTGATTATCACACTGGAGATATGATTTAACTACCTCAAATACAGAATGACTTTAACTTTTCTAATTAACTCATAACTTTCTGGAATTTACTGGGATAAGACTAATGACATCCCTACCACCAATGTATATTTGGGATATACAAATATATACCCAGGTGGCCAGTGAAAAATGTTATTGTTTGGTCGTATTAGAAAGCTACATGAATTTTTCTTCAATAAAGCCAACATCATTCTGGAATTTACTGGGAGAATGACAAACACTAACAGCTGCTCTACCAGCAACATTATTTTGTGATGTACAGGCCTACCATAGTAGTCTGATGAAGTAGCTGTAACTAAATAACTTCATAATGTCATAGACTTTGAGTAATATTACTTGGGAATTCAGGGTATATAATCATGTTTTATTTTATTTACAGTCTGTGTTTAAAAGGTTAACATCCCGTTTTAAGTTTCTATACTGCGTGAAGTTTGGGACTAATAAAATAAAGTTTAAGGTCCTGGTTTATCAGCTTCTAATTGATTGAGATCAAAACAATATAATACTTTTTATCACTTGTAAAAATAACGTAACATATGATAGTGGCAAAACTGTAAATAGTTAAATGCTATATACTTATATTATTGTTTTTTCATTTCGTCAATACACGTGTTTTTGTAATTCTGGTATCTAATTCTCTTCTAGATATATGATTAGTTTATATTTTCATTGCGATATCATGAACATACTCCTAAATTATAACATAAATATTTTCCTTTTAGACAATAGATATAAATAAACAGTTTGTGAATTCCTGATGAGTAAAATACAAGAATGACAGAACATCATTTTATTGTGTAGTAAAATTTCAGTCTATTCTAGTCAGGCAGTATGATATCAATCACATTAATAATAATTCAGAATGATAGATATAGTTAACATACGTTCTACTAACACTCTAGATTGGTGAGTTCAGGTCCTCTCTGACAATACATCAGTTCTAGAAACACACTGATATGGGTGGGGCTGGATTGGAGAGAGAGCAGTTTGTGCCAATTCAGCCATCAAGTTAGGCATTGGTTCCATAAAAACACTGATATTATGATATGAATCCAATTTACTTTATTTTTAAACATATAAATGTTTTAGTCCTATAATAATGATGTTTTTACTTGTGATAATTTTAATCAATCATTCTGGGATATGAATTGTTTCAGATAGTATAATATTAATAATCACATATTTTAACAGTTTAACCACAATGTTCTAGATTGATTCAGCTAACAGAGACGATACAGTAGATCGCAGTTTCTCAAGAACTTTAAGTCCAGTATTTTAAGCCAACAGGGCATCAATGTCTCCTAGGATATCATCATCATCATAATCATCATATTTATCTGATGTTAGAGTGAAATTATTATCATCATCATCATCATCATCATCATCATCATCATCTAGTAAGATATCATCATCTGATAATAATGATGTTCTCGCTTTCTTCTTTTCACTGAAAACATCAAATTACTCTTAGTTATATTTCTTTTTAAAACTGTTCAAGGAATTTAAAGAGGTTTTCTAAACTTTTGATTTGTATCAGGGGCACTGATAGCTTTGATTGTCAACATCAATTTTCAGTTAGATGTTTGGGTTCTTAAAATTCTACCTAAACTGTCCTAAACTAACCTTTTCTTTTGCAAACTGTTAAATAAACTAGTCAGACTACAATCAAATGAAGTGAAAAGTGAAAAGTTTTATGTGTCACAATCTTTCTTAATTGTCCAATCTGAACAACTAAACGTTGACCTGCATCACTGACTGGGTTCAAAAATCCAAAAGTATCATCTCGACCTTTGCTGGGATTGCACTCTATCAAACTCACAGAGCATCGTGGTTCCCTGTCAAGAGAGAGAGAAATAAAGACATACCTGGATTCTCGACTAGATGATTTCCGTTTTACAGGTGCTGGTGTTTTTATTTCATTAACTGTTTCTTTAATAGGTGTAACATTGTTAACACTGGCGTCTACAGCTGGTTTTACACTACCATTAATAAACTGGATGGGATCATCTCTAGTCTTATTAGTTATTTCATATGCTGGCTCCGATACTGTCCTATTCTCAAGATGAGTTGTAACACTAGATGGCTGTACTGTATTATTGACAGTAACCGTAACAAGT